AGGTTGAGGCGGCTGCAAAGTGTCTCCCGTATGAATCTGGGAGACAATACACATTTGATGTGACTAAAGCAAATGAAATCTTTGATTATCTGAAAAAGTCAAGACATATTAAGCTGCCGCAAGGGCATAGGATCTCAACGGTTGCTGAAATTGCATCCAAAGATTACTGTAAGTTTCATAACTCCTGGAAACACTCTATTAATGACTGTGTTATTTTTCGGAATGTGTTGCAAGACAAGATTGACAAAGGGCTGCTTCGTTTCCCTGAAAAACCCAAGAAAGCCATGGGGGTTGATGAGAATCCTTTTCTGAACGTTGAAGTTGGAGTTAATGTTGCTGACATAAGGAGCATCTCCCGAAGGACGTATAGAGGGCGAACTTTGGCTGCAGATGACCTTCGATGGGTGATTGAGAAGGAAAGGGAGCGTCATGCCCAACAGAATCAGAGGCTCGGGAGGCAACACCATGCTGCCAGAATCTATGCATCCAGATCCAGGATGAAGGAGGCTCGACATACAGATCACTCTCGTATGGTTAAGCCTCCACAGCGACCTCCAAGTAAAAGATGGGAGAAGGTCGTGCATCCCAAGTTTCCAAAAGAACCTGTGAGAAATCCTAGAACTTTGAGAAGAAGGTTGCAGTGAAAGCGAGCAGAGGCACGTCGTCGTCAACAATTAGCTACTGAGGAAGTTAAGGTTCCACAACGTTCTCTCGTAAAGGGAAAGATGGTGTGGAAGAGAAAAGAGAATCAAAAGGTTACTGTCCAGAATGAATCTCAGCCAAAGGTGCCATCTCCTAAGCTCACCTCATTGATCGTTAATGAAAATGAGTTGAAGGCAACCTTTGAAGCAGATCAGCAAGCAGAGTTGACTAGCGATAATAATCTTCTTGAGGACATGGATGTTCTGCAGATCGGCAGCATCTCTATTAACCTTTCTTGTTTGGTTCTCACGCTTCCTTTGGTTTTTCAAGCCAAGGGCAGCGAGACTACCCATGTTTCCAATGGTAGCATGCTTGTTGAGGAAGAAGTGATAGAGGTTCCAGCCCAAGAAGAGGAAGAGGAGCACGATATCCTTTCAGAACAAATTATCTTTAACAAACCAGATGAAAATGTGGCTCGTCATATAAAGCCACTCTACATTTCAGCTCACATGGATGGAGTTCCAGTGAATCGAGTCCTTGTCGACAATGGAGCAGCAGTCAATGTCATACCTTCTTTTATGCTGAGGAATTTGGGTAAAAATTCTGAGGGCTTGGTTTATACTGACGTAACCATCAATGATTTCACAGGTGGTGTTAGCAAATCAAAAGGAGTGCTACCGGTTGCACTTACTATCGGCAACAAGACGTCAATGAGTGCTTTCTTTGTTGTAGACTCTTCTGCAACTTATAATGCATTACTGGGACGTGATTGGATTCATTCGAGTTGGTGTGTTCCATCTTCTCTCCATCAAAGACTCATTTTTTGGAATGGAGGCAAAACTGAGGTGGTCTATGCTGACAACAGACCATTCTTAGCCAATTCCAATATGGTGGAAGCACGGTACTATGATGAAGACGTAGGAACCATCCGTTTCTTCGGCATGGATAGACAAGGAAGACCTTGTGGAATCACTACTTGCAACAAGCCTACCTTGGCTAAGTATGTGGTTGACGAGGTATGTAATGAACTCTTGCGGCCTACTGCTATTATTCCATATAGGCCGCAAGAGGAGCCCAAAATTGAGGAGTTATTATGAAGAAATCCAGAATAAACAAAGAAAGAAGGGAGGCCGTATCTGAAATTCTAAAGAAATTAGCGGCCTATTTTGCTGAAAGAAATACAAAAGCAAATCTGTCGGAGGTGGTACATGAAGGTGAAGAGGATACCCATACCAACGGAATCACAATGGAGGAGTTAGATTTGGCCCCTGCAAAGCTGGATGACCTCAGGGCTGATGTACAAGATCCATTGAAGGAAGTTAATCTGGGAACGGAGGCAGAGCCATGCATTACTTTTGTCAGTGGCTTGCTGCCGCCAGAGATGCGAGATCAAATAATTTGTTTACTACATGAATTCAAAGACTGCTTTGCCTGGGATTATTCTGAGATGCCAGGTTTAGACC